ATATTTACCAAGGTAAGACAAATTTTGTTATTTCGCTAGTCAACCTGATATAAATAATAATAATGATATTATATGGCTTTGTTTTATTTGTGTGATACAAGAATATATTGCTCTTGCGATGACAATATTGGACTCGTCTCCGACTCGTTCAAGGTTGTTATAACTCGAGCAAAATATTCCTGTGTCACACTCAAAGCCATCCAATATTATATAATTATTCTCCATTCAAAACACTAATTTACCCCTAACAATATAGAATAGTATCCTACCACCCCTCCCCCCCCCCCCAAAAGACTACTTTCACCAGGGGGGTGTTTCACAAAGCCCCTTTTCAATGACAAATGACAAAAACCAGAGACAAAACTGCTGATAACCAATCAGCAGCAAGGATTTCAGTAGCTTATAACAAAAAATGTCATTTGTCACTGATAACAAGTTTTGTGAAACGCCCCCCCTGGATACTAACCTTGGTAAGATGCTGGTAAACTTCCTGCATCAAGGTACTCATCATTTCTAACACACCGGCTCGGATAGGTTGAAGCACTTTATCCATCCCTACCCTAACCAAAGACAGCACTGAGTTGATAAAGTCAGACGCTGAAGCGGCACTCTGAAGAAAGAAACAAGGAAAAAAAATTAAAAATGAAGCTTTGTACGTCTTGTGATACGTTCTGGCCAGGCGCCGAGTTGTCTCACAATACATGCACATACTGTATGTACTTAAAGGGGAAGTCCACCCTGAAATTAAGTTAGTTTTAATAGGAGTAGAAAAATGAGAGAAACAAGTCAGTGAAAGTTTGAGCAAATTCCGATTAAAAATAAGGAAGTTAGGATTTTTGAAGTTGTGATCAATCAAACACAAATTGGCAACTCTATGACGTATCATGCGAGCTCAACTTCCATTTGCTCAGTACTAAAAAAATCTAAAATTTTCATTTTCCCTCAAGAAAAATTTCAACCATACATGCACCCTAAATATAATAATTGCAAATATGTTTCTATACTCCCCCTGCAAGAACAAATATATATTCCGTCATCAATAACGAAGAAAACATGATTTTATGGAATATTATGCACAAAGCAAATGAAGGAGAGCTCATATAATAAGTCACAGAGTTGTCAATTTGTATTTGACTGATCACAACTTCAATAATTCATAACTTTCTTATTTTCATTCAGAATTTGCTCAAACTTTCACTCACCTGATTTTCTTATTATTCTGCCTCTATCGAAACAAACTTATTTTGGGGGTGGACTTTCCCTTTAAAGGGACTTGTTAATACTGTTCAGATGAGAGAAAATGGTGCTAAGGTAGTAACTTCAATGCTCGATGTACAATTAAAGATAATCTGAAAGTTTGAGTTGAAACAGACCATTATTAATGATATAAGTTGGGAAAAACTGATCTGATTAATATTTAATATCCCCCAAATATATTATTATTATTTAATTACATTTTAGGTGAATTTAAATCCTCACAAAGCAATCGGTTGACTCTATATTCCATTCCATACATTCCTGTTTAATGTCATATTTTCATGGAAATATGGTTGGGAAAATTCACAAATAGTTGGGAGAATTTAGTTAGAAGGTGTCTCACAGTGAAGCCTTCAAAGGAAACCATAAATATCTCAAGTTTGTAGTTTGAGAATTTTTTTCCAGGATTGTTTGCATGTTAGTACAGTAGAAGGAATATATAAGGCAATTATTATGCCTATGTATTGTAAAACAAAATATTCATGGACCACACGAATGAAGTTTCTCTAATAAATACAAATATAATTAAAATTATGCATGGTTATCACAATAATCTCCTAAAAATAAATTAAAAGTATTATTTTTTATTTGCTATATTGTATAACGTATGTTATACATGGAAAACTCAAAGTTTACACAAATAAATTAAAAAACATGTTGATGGTTGTTCTGCATGATCCAGATGGTTCGCTCAATGTCTATCTTGTTTACTTCCAGCACTTCAGAAAAAACACTAGTAACAAAAAGTATCCTTGGATGTTGGTTCAAAAAATTAATGGCTTGTACCAGATCCAATCAAGCTAAAACCTTACCAAGGTTGGTTCGCTTGGGTGATCATCCATATCATAGGAGGTATGCACCGTGGCTCATTGAATATGAAAAACGGAAATAGACATCAATCTATGTCACAAGTGGTTGGTGTAAGGATCTTTTAATAGTTTCATTGAAAGAGTGCCCTTTTCATAAAACAGACGGTAGACCATTTTTGAAAAAAGGTTATTAAAGTGAAAAATATACGAATTCACCAAGACTTATATTTATACATATCTATGTATATTTGCATCATATCATTGATTGCTTTGTATTTACATGATGCAAAATAAAGTGTTCAAATTCTTGAGCCTTTCTATTGTAGGAATTTGGATTTGTCCATAGTTTTTATTATGCAAACTACTTTGGTAAAATTACATTAAACTGCCGCTAAAATGACGATGAACGAAAAGTAGTTCATAGATTTAAAAGTTTGTTTTGTAATTTTGAGGAAAACTTGTTATATTTTGAGTCTATCTAAAAAAGGAGCAAGGTTGCATCTAATGTTTAGTAAGTAATTTTTTTCTTTATTCAGAAGGTGTTCGTAGAAGAATAGCAAGAGGAGGAAGGATATTTTGTTTACAGTATTGTGATAGGTCCTTGTATGTGGGCGTGGGCATCTGCCTGACATAGCAGTGTATGTAGGACACACCTTGCATTTTGTTATGGGTTGATGATGTTGTGCGTTTGTCAGGCTGTGTATTGAGCTTGGAACGCCCTAGAACCAATTTACACCCGAGATTACCTTTGAAAGAAAAATTGCCAGTGAGGTGCACTGTCAGGACTTTTGTCAGGTGGTCAGCAGAATTAGCCTTCTGAGGCGGTTAATTTGTGGTCTGGGACTGTGTTGGGAGCTGGAAGTTAGAGGCATATTTCTAGCGTGACTAAAGTTCCTGTAGCTTTAAAGACCTTGGGGTTTTTAATTACTACTGGAGTACATGTACATGATCATCAAATAAACAGGCTCATCACCCACTCGTCATACATGTACAAGCTGCTTGGTTGGGTGATTCTTTGTGGCTTCTGTACTACACTCTACTTTAATCTTACCACATATTACAACAATAATGTGGGGAAAACATTTAAAGGTACTAAGTCCCATTTGCAGGCCAAAAAAATGAAAAGGTTAAATTAATTTAGAATTTCCCTAAAAAAAGGGGGGCTTGAAAATGTCTTAAAGTGGGAAAAAAACGACTATTAGTAGTCGAATTGACTTAAGAGCTATAGAGCCCGTAAGTAATAGTCTGATTTTCAGACCATTGTACCGAATGGTTGTTCGTTTTATGCTGTGCAAAGATTCAATCAGTTTAATTTTGGCCATTACAAGAAGTGGGTTATTGATGTAGACAAATGCTCATGTACCCTTTACAGCTCATTTTATGTATGTTATTACCAAAGAAGAAAAAACCCAGTCAGTCACTCAATAGTGTCTGACAGTGAAGTCTAGCAAGTAAACAGGTTTCCTTGCATAATTTGAATATTAGGACACTGCTAATGTTTAAATTTCACAGATAGGACATACATGACACATTCATAATTCTTGCAAAGTTCTACAGAATTTGATGTTGGCTGCAAAAGGGACATAGTATCTTTAACCGTGTTTGTATGTACACAATGTACATCCGACCAATGTGTGAAATTTAGTGTGAATATAGATCATTGTGGCAACTTTGGTAAGGATTTGTTTTTCTTTCATTTACTAACCTGACAGATCAAATAAGGTTGAGCTACGTGTCCTTTAGAAACATCTGAGGGAAAAAATTGAAGAAAATTAGGATTGCTGACATCACTTTCAATTTAAATTTGTATGTCTGTTCAAGTAAGCATTGAAGAACAAGACAAATTTGTATGCATCAGCCATTCTTATTTCATCATTAATAAAATGAAGCACTGATTATTGGAAGTACAGATGAACACTATAACATAATATGATATGGACTTTATAAAATATCAATATGATCATCATTATTACTAGAAGTATGAATTATTCAAATTAGCAAGTTTTTTTTTTTTTAAAGTTTGTACTACAAGAAAAAGCAATGTACAAATGTAATTCGATCAAATTTGTGAAAAGAATTAAAGTACACACTGAAAAATACAAAGATCTTCATTGAATCTTAGTATACAAAGTATAAATGTCTACAAACACCAGCCAAACAATTCCCAGTGGCTATACTATATTTAACCCTCATACTGCAAACAAATCATAAATAATATACTGTTTTACAAGTTTTTAATTCTATTTTCTTTTATTGATTTGTAATAATTATTCTCCTTGATACAGTGAATCTAACAATACAATTTAAAACCAGAAGAATATTTTCCTTGTAAAAAATAAAATTGAATATCACCTCAAAAATTTGGAGGTCAAACCAGCATATGATTCAATAATGGCATTTATATTTGGCACTCTTGCAGTAGCTGTATCACAGCGCTTAACCAACTAACTATATACACGTACAAACGGGTAAATTAACTTAAAGGTAAAGACCAGTTATGGTCATGCGATTGCATTGTGAAAGAAACGTTGTGGAATCGATCAGAAAAGGTTGATCATCTAGCATCTAGCATCTGCAAGGTTCTGGAATCATCAAAATGATAAGAAATTTGGCCCATTCTTCGTAAAGTTACAAGCACTATACACAGAAAGATGTATATGGACTACCCTATATCTCTCACAGACCATGAGAGAAACAAATTTACCAAATATATGAATTAGTAGGCGGTTTCCCGGCAAATTTGTTATCATCATGTATTAGTAAAAACATATTCTTTCACATGATTGGTAATGAGAGCTTCCATTTCATTTTTTGAAATCGGGGCATTTCCAATACTGGTCTTTACCTTTAAGATAATGAATATGAATAATACAAGGACATATAATGATTGATACCGAAAAGGTTGGAATTACTTTTGAAATATACAGCCTGCATCTTCCCTCGAATCAAATCAACTTTCCCATGGAGACCTTGTCACTTACCACACTATTCATCCAGCATGGTTTCTCCAACGAAAGTCAATTTCCTATTGTAATAACAGCACTCACCACAGCCAACCAAAACATCTTCAATCAAAATATGTTCCCCATTGAGTGTGCGCAGGTGTCGTAGTCAAATGGTTTAAAGGGGGTGCAGCATGACGTGTCTTTCCCGTGGCCTGACTCGAGGCCAATCGGGATACCGGTAATACAATTACAGACGACGCAACTGCAGTATTTGCGTGCATGCAACATACGCAAAACTGAAGCGTGAGGAGAACTTTGGTCTTTTTCGCGTACGCTAGCGCGAGCTGACTGTTAATCAAGCCCATTCGTTTACGTGCAGTTGTCCAAAAGAAGTCGTAGATGGCGTTAACCAGTATTTTCCAAGCTACACCCCCCTTTAAACACATGACCGAGGAAACATAGATCATGGGTTCAAGCCCTGTCACAGCACGATTGTCCTTTGGCAAGACTTTAATTCACAACTGCCACTCTCCACCCAGGTGTTAAATAGACAATCGGTAGCCTAGCTATAGCCAGGGTAATATTGGCCCACCTTGAGCACCTTATGATAATGTCTTGTTTACCGACGGTAGACTCATCAGTAATTACTGTTCTCCCTATTGGCCCTGCAATCACAATATTATCCAGGCTTTAGCATGGCTACTGTTATAAGGTGCACATGTATTCAAGGTACTTCTTCCTACTGGGTATCCATTTACTTCACCTGGGTGGAGAGTAGCAAAGGTAGATTTACTATCTTGCCAAAGGACAATAGTGGTGCAGCCGGGACTTGAACCACAAACCACAGGTATGTCTTCATCAGCTCGAGATTGCCAAGTAGCCCGCTATTTCTGATTTGTGAAATAAGCCCAAAATTACAAATCGCGTCTTCATCAGCTCAAGACTCGACCTCGAAACTCAAAACGCAAGCTTGAGAATTTAGCTCGAGATATTTTGCTCAGCGTTTCTGCATGGTACAAGTCTTCGGGCTGGTGAGGACACACCGGACAAATAGCGGGATATTTTGCAAGCTAGCCCAAGATATATTGGGATGATTATCTTGACCAAATATCCCGCTAATTGCAACTGCAGGCTGATGAAGACGCAAATGAGCTGGATCACTTGCGATCGGGATAGTTAAAATAGCGGGTTATTTGGCAATCTCAAGCTCATGAAGACAGGCCTCATGTGATTCAAAGTCTAGGGATGTATCCACTAAACCATGACACCTCTACTTATTACATGTGGACATATCATTATTATTTTTGCGACATTGCTTCTTACCACATTTCACAGCCTGAGCCTTCTTCTCCTTCCTCATCTTCTCTTCTTCCTGGGCACAGCTTGTCTTCAGCATCTCCTCGGAAAGCTTGGTGATGCTTCTTATCACAAGGCTTGTCATGTTCTCCAATACGCAAGACCAGTTCCACTTGCTCAGCTATGATATAATAATAATATTCCGCTTTTATATAGCGCTTTATACAAATGTCTCTAGGCGTTTAACAGACATACTATTACCCCGGTCATTGGATTCAACAATCTCCACTCCCTGGGGAGCATTCCAGCCATGATAGTATAAAAAGGGTTGATAGGAAAGAATGTGGTTATAAACGGAAGAGAATCATCGTATCAAAGCAAAAAAGATAGAGATGGAAGGAAACAATAGAGAGAGCATGTGTAAGAGCAAGAGGTGAAAAGAGAGAGAGAGAGAGAGAGAGAGAGAGAGAGAGGGGGGGGGGTTTATGGGATGCATGTGTGCGAGGGAAAATGGGAAAAAAGAGAACAATTCACACATAACACAAAATAGCACATTACTAATTCAAAATGTTGATGACATCATAGGTCATGTCGGAACAATAAATTCATGTAAATTGTGAAATGTAAGGTCAAATATTTATTACATCAGAAAGTGTCGCAACAATGAAAACAAATTCACCTCTTCATTAATCAATATCGCACATCTTCCTTTGAAAACAAACAAAAGACACCAGGAGAAAGAGTTTCTCACCTGATGTGATGGACTATCTAACACGGGGCTTGAACCTCGTCCCCCATAGTCCGAGCCTACCATCCCAGGCATGACACCAAACGGGGGCGGGATGGCCTCTGGGAGCACCCCTCTACCGGTATGTGTCGATGGCATCCTAGAGTCACGCATTGGCCCTCCATCTCGATTGTGCTTCAGAACACCTGAAAGCAGTAAGAAATACAAGAAGAAATATTTACCAATTCAAAACTTGTCTTAAGGCACATTTATTCAAAATTGCTTTTGATGATTAACTTTAATACTTTATTCACATTGATGTGTATTTCATATGTATTGTAACATGTAGGTTTATTTTCACTTTTTTGTTTTGTTTAATATGTAATTATTTATCAGTCTACTTTGTTTGTAATAGCGCTTAGAGACTTTGGTGGTAAGCGCTTTATAAGCAACGTTTTTATTATTATTTATTATTTATTATCAGCATGTCTGCCTACCATCCACAGCCAAACTAGGAATTTCTCCAGGCAACAGTAGGACAACACTATATTTTTAATGCTTTTAGACCGATGTTTTCACACACAAAAACACAGAGAAATCTGCCACAATAACATTAGTTTATAGGCCGAATATTGAATCTTGGGATCATATCTCTATATAGCCAATGATCAGAACATTCCAAAATGTATTTTATTGTTTCTTGAGCTGTTGTTTACAGGTAATTAAAGCCTTCTTAAACACTGCCCCCAGTATTTCTTATATATTTGGGTTTATTTTGGTAAATCCAAAGAAGGGATGATGTACTAAACCTCAACATGATGTCTTTCTACATATCAATACAGTGCAGAATAAAGACTGAATAAATAATAATGCAAATGAAGGTGATTACGTGGAAAAGTCATACCACATGTGAGAAAAAAATAATAATTACATTGCTATCAAGGACAAGCCCCGTTAAATATTTGATGAGGAATTAATTTCAATATTAATGAAGTTCATATTAATTGTTTGTTCTACGTACCCATACATGTTCTAAAAATAAAATGTTAATAATCAAATATACACAAATATATGTACCAGGATATGTCATGATTGAATTCACACTCAAGGTGTCATGAAATATACCACAGACATACAAGCACAAAACCTAAACAAACAACACTCAAATTCTTTAATAATGAGCGGTAACAATGTCTATATTGCAGGTATTTATTTTATAAACAGGAAAAAAGTCCTAGCACTTCCTGAATAAACAAATCCCACAATTTTTTTTCATGAAATTTGCATAATTTGTTTGGAATTACATGACTTTTTCAGCAAATTCTCACTCTTTGTCACACACTGGGCCCTGTTCATAAAACTTGATCCCAATACAAGCGCTACAGATCTTTGACAAATCTGGTCATAGCCAATCAAATGAAAAGATTTCAGTAGCTTATAACAATTATTGCATCTTTGATTGACACCAAGTTGTATGAAACAGGGCCCAGAAATTTTACGTTGTTTGTGTTTCTTCATTACAATACTCCTATATATATTTCCATGATTGGTCTTGATTTCCAATGGCTTTTTAAAAACAATTTGGGGAATTTTCCTTTTCTATTGACTTATCCAGTCTGAAAATATGGTGTCAGATTTTCATGACATTTTCAGATTCATCTCCTTGGGGTTGAATGTTGGAAAGAGGAATGTTGAAAGGTCACTGACCTCTGATGGTGCCCTTGCCATGGGTCGGTGGTTTGAAGAGAGGGGCTCCTTCCCATGTTGCATGCTGGGATAGCTGACAGAGACATTGATTCAAGTCGTGTAGCAAGGTCACGATGGTCATGTAATGCTTGATGTCATCACGGCTCATCAGTACAGAATCTAATAGAGGAAAAAATTGTTGATTAGACACTTGATATGCACATTAGTATAAATTAAATCGTTCATTATCTGCAAAACTGGTTAGACTTGTTTAGAGCGTCCATCCATATTGAAGCAGCACTTCTAAAAATTATAATCATATTAGTTATTTGTTGATCATTCCTTCTTTAATGTTCATAAAAGAATTTAAATAAATTACTAGCTGGAGTAATAGTCTTAATGCTCTAATATGATATGGCCTCTTGCCATCTAAAAGAATCCAAATTAAAATACTAGTTAGTTCAGATTTTTAAATAATATAGATGTGGTCCTACCTTCCACGAGAGACTTCTTCTTGGCCTGCTCTTTCCCATGATGCTCATGGCCTCCATTCAGCCAATCACTGGCCCCAATGCTCTTCGTGGCACTGCCGTTGGAGGAAGATGTTCCTTTGGGTCCTCCCCTGCCCCCGATGCCTTCGCAGGCTTCCTCCATCATGGAAGCTATCTCCTCCTGGAGCTGCGAGAGGTAGATCTCCTGGACAGCCTGCAGGAAGTTCACCTCCCCCTCGAAGACATCCGCAAGATAGAGGGCGCACTCATCCTCCAGCATGGCGTGGAAATGAGGGGTCAGTCTCTGGAGTTTGTCCGCGATGGACGCCAACGTCGCAGGCTGTCTCGGCTCGGCTGCATCGATGTTGGAAGTACACAAATTCTCTCTCAAGAATGTCGCCGCCTATATACAGCAGATGGGCACAAAGATGTACAATGTGTAGTGGTGGTTATTTTACCGGACTTCTAAGAAAGCATAAATGCTTTATAATACGCAACCAGAGGCCCGGCGGCTTTAGATTCTCTCCGAAAGACCTGATTAAATGAGGATTAATGCCTTACCAAAGGGCACTAGCGCATCAAAGAAAAATGAGTAAATAAAAGAATACAGTAGAATAAATTCATGTTGCCCCTTACACATGAAAACAAAATCCCAATTTCCTGATGTTGAGGGTAGCGGTAAGACTATTTCTGTGTAATACATATCATGGAAAGAATGCGTATCTATCAAAATACCTAGCCTAACATTCAGCAATCCCTGATATGACAAACTTAAAATATCTCAATGCTTCACAAGTCAATTATGATGAAGGTCAAATATGACAGACATGCAGCTATGATTAAAGAGTGTACCCACGGATGCAAACAACATAGGCAAAGCGAGGAATAGCTGTTGACGAGAAAACTAGGATGAAACATCTGGGAGCCATTTCACAAAGCCTTTTTTCAATGACAAATGACAGATATCAGTGACAAATCTGTTGATAACCAATCAGAAGCAAGGATTTCAGTAGCTTATAACAACAACTGTCGATTGTCACTGATGACAAGTTTTGTGAAACACCCCCCAGTACATTACCTTATCTGATGCTAAGACATGGTAGCTGCTCCACACCTCCTTGATAGGATAGAGAATACACAGACTCTGTAGACATTCAATACGCTGGACCTGCTTGGCCTTAGAGAGCGGTCCTATCCATTCACCCGGCTCCGATACCTTGATGGCATGCAGTCTGTCTAGGAAGTAACGCTTCAGACGCGAGCGGATCTCCTCCCACAACGAGTCATTCTCCTGGTAGAGAAAAATAAAGAATAATTGTAACAATAACAAGAACTGATTTAATTTCAACAATTATAACTGATCAAAATGGTCTAGTGAATTATCACCCCATTCTTTCAATTCAGTTACAATTCTACGATTCTAGTGCACGTTTGCCATTCCACTTGGAGCATTCCAGCCCGGTAGCCGTTTTTACATCTGCACATGTGATAAATCCAGCCACAAAGCAAATTGCATCCTACCATTTAACACCTGGGTAGAGAGAATCAAAAAAGATAAAAATGCCTGGCTAAGAAAATAAGTGCCATGCTGGGGCTTGAACACAAGGCTTTGCATCCCCAGTCAAACAGCTCATCTACAAAACCTGTACAGCTCTTGAACGCATGTCCACTGACCCGTAGGGATAAGTTGACATCTCCTGTTTGGAGCCAGAAGGGAGTTAACCCATCTACTTAAACATGCGGCTGGCACCCTTCTGGCTCTGAAAAGATGGCTGACACGTACCTGTTCAAGTGAGTCGCCGATGGTGTTGATGGAGACGGCTGAAGCAGCTACATAGCTAGGTTTGGGTGCACGGATGGGGAGACCAAGGCCTTCATGCGATGCTAAGCCGAGCAGCTGCTCAAAGATGACCGATTCAGAGTTGGGATGGTTGACAGCATGCTGCAGCTGTAAAGATAATCATACAGGGCATGGCATGAACTTTGGTGAGTAACTGTAAATGATCGTCCACGTATTAATTCACATGTACTTCTCACATGTGGAAAAGACAAACGACTCTAAATTATTCAATCACACTAAATTTAGGTGTACAGGTTTTGTAGTTGCAAACATCTGTCTAACCTGCAATATACCTACAGTCCATCATGACATAAATATAGACTTTGAAGGATCTGCTGTTATGTTTTTAAAGACCAACAATTCCGATTCAGGATGATGAAACCTTATACAAGGCGATTACTGGCCCATGGAAATGTTTAATTCATCCCTCCCCCCCCCCCCCCCCCCCCATTCCACTCCGTAGAGGTGGCTCTCTCTCTTTGTCAAGAGGATGCTTAACTGACTGGACCCAACCTGTTTCCTCAAATCTCCAGTGAACATGACATACAGTACTCACAATTGCTTTCAGAAGCTTGTTAACATCCTCTGTATCCGGTGTGAGACAGGCACACTCCTCTAGAACTGGGGTCTGAATCAAGCTGTCCATAGCATCCTTTATGTTGGTATAATTATTGTCCAGTGAAAGGCTGTTTGTTGCTTGCACCAACTTCTGCAGAGTCTCCTCAATCCTACATAGAGAAAGAAATGAATTTCAAAGATTCGTATAAAAATATCAGCATAAATGAAACCCTAATTTAATTAAAGAACATAATTTATACAGTAGGCTTACGGTTGCGCCATGTGAGCACCAGTCCTTTTTAGGACTACATGTACACACACACTAAAGAAAGAAAGATTACCAACAGTCCATTTCAGGACCCCCCCCCCCCCCCCCCCCCAGCCTACTGTATATCTACATCACCATGCAAGCCGATACTTTAAAGCAGCATCTAGAACATAATTTGACGTGAAATTTTATCATCTCTCTCTCTCTCTCTCTCTCCCTCCCTCCCTCTCTCTCTCTCTCTCTCTCTCTCTCTCTCTCTTTCTCTCTCTCCCCCCTCCCTCCCTCCCTCCCTCCCTCCCTCCCTCCCTCCCTCCCTCCCTCCCTCTCTCTTTCTTTCTCTCCTTATCTTTTATATGACTATCTTACTTTTTATCATTGTGCTTGAGTTGTTCATCAATATCTGTAATGACCATCTCCAGGTTGTCCATGCTCGGCATTCCAAACTGGAACATCGCCGTCAAGGAGGGCAGCACACACTGATGAGACATGGTGAATCTAATCTAAAGTACTTCTCCAGAACGATTTTCCTTTTCAATAAGTGTGTGCCGATTACCTCATGTCCTGCAAGAATGATAATAATGTGGTTCTATGTTGACAAATGCTTATAAAGAAAAGAGACAAAGCAAAATTCAAGTTCTATGATACAATGCCACTGTGTAGAAGTTTATCATAGATAACGTTGTACATGTTTAAGACTCATGCAGATATGATGTAGTAAACCACCACAAAAAATGCTGTTTTTTTATGCATATTAACTACTGGTCGCCCATACTTTTTGTGTTATGGAATAGACTCCCAATGGAAGTTTCATCCATTTTATTCCATCACTGTTTCACACAAAATCAGCACTTCCTTTACACTTATTGTAACCTAAATATAAATAGAACACAAATAATTAAACTTATTGATGTTAGGAAACATTCTGTGAAAATTAAATCAGCGATCTTTTCCTGGCAAACAGTAACATTACTGTCTCAGTGTCTTCACCATATCTTGAGTTTTTAGTCCCATGAATATAATAATTTAAGACAGTAATAAATCAATTCTAATATTTCCAGCCAATTTGCAGCTCTTTAGAAATCATGTAGAAAAACTGAAGAAACCGCTAGTATTCCTCTGTTGAGAATCATCTAGTTTTCAGCTAATGATCGACCAAAAAAAATTGACCGCCCAAAACCCTCGGTCCCTACGGTCCGTTTTGCGTCTGCGGAAATGTTGGGATACATATATATGCGCGACACAGTAAGGTATGGATCAAGTGTCTTTACAACCAAATTTGTGTACATCTACATGTAGTTTACACAGAGATTCAGCGTGTGAGGCTATCCAAAAATGCACACAATGACAATGAATACAATTACAAATACAAAGCAGCTCTTCAGTTTCCAATTTAATTTAGGTGTCATCAATTGTCACTAAAATCCTAAAGTGCTGAATCTGATTGAATTCTGGTGAGTTTTAAAAAAAATCTAGACACGTATACTAATGCTAGTGGTTTACGTTCGTAAGGTGTGCTCAATTTTTGGCTGTGAGCTGGCTGCATTGGTTTTGACAAAGGTGGATTGATATCGTGTATAACAAAAAAGTAATGCGGTCAATCGGCAAACTTACGTTCGTACGTATTTCACACATACAGTACTTGCAGCTTCTTGCGACTGCGATTTTAGTTGCTATCGATCTACTGCTAGAAAGTTGAAATTTCATTGATTTTTCACTTCATTAAGTCAATATTTACGCGCGTTTTTTCTTGAACTTTGTCATATTATATATGCTTCATTTGAAATGATTTCTCAACTTTTGAAAGAAAGTTTTGTCCTCCCCACACACGACCTCATATCACTTTCAGCACACAAAGTGTGGCTTATGATGGCTACATTTGGATGATCGGCTGCTCGGCAGGGGGGCCCGCGAAAATATTGTTTGTAGCGACAGCTCATCACATAGCTAACGTAAGCGCGTAATAATGGGCACTGCTCATGCTGCTGGTTGCAGGGCCTGCTGCACTTATGCACGAAGTGAAAAGGCCTCACCGAGATCGTAGCGTGCACTGGCCACAAAGAGATTTAGCTTACATTTAGCGCATGCGCAGATCGCTCATCCGATCTCAGCATCATTTTCATAAGTTGGCGCCTACCCTGGCCGACATGGGCCCTTCTGTATTTCACTAAGTTTAAGTTTCACTTAAGTTTAAGTTTCACTTAACTATTTTTTTAAGTTTGAACAATTCTCATTTTCGTCATAATTCATATTTAAGGTACAAACTGGAAATTTATTTTGAAATGTTGGTTGATTTTTCTATTTTATGTGTTTGCAATGCTGTGTGTGTGTCACCTTTGTGTGAAGTGCGTCACCTGCTTAAAGCTGGACGTGTCAAAATCTCTGTGGTGTAACGTAATATTACATATTGACTTTGCCATTGAACTTAAAGTGCGCGTAAGTACTAAGTAGTTCCTCTCGCACTTAAATTCGAAGCCACTCGAGCGGACTGGCCGATGAGAGCGCGTAAACTTGTTGTACAGCGCTAGATGCACAAAGTTCTTCGTGCTGGCTATTCTATGCCTCTATCATTAGACTATATGATGAAATGAGTACACTAAAAATCATCAAAATCTTACGTTTATTGCACGAACACAGCACAATCAGCTGATTTTAACATTGTTCATCAACTTCATGTTTGAAAATGTACGTAGAGTCGTAGATCTAGACCTACACATTTTCTGTCATATTTCATATCCTCTTCTAATAATTATTTTTGTGTGGTGAACAGTACACTACTAATGCTTCTAGCCTTCTATTTCTAACAGTGCTACCCGCCGAGGGCCGAGGCAATCTTGGCGCTGCCGCCTAAAGCTGTCCCGAAGACGAAGTTACACAATTTCCAACATATGGGACCGTTCTGTGAATATCATTGCATATTTTGAAGAAATTTAGCCTAGATCTAGTAATACAAGTATATGGGCAATATAAAAACATTGAAAATATACGAAACAACTCACTAAGTCATGAAGAAGCGTGAATTCAGCCTAAGTCATCATGAACTATGCAAAAAGACAGAAAATAAAGTAGATTTACTCGATAACTGCTGAGGCATAAATCGCTATTTGCAGTAGCTATGAGTATGACGTCATCACCAAGGCCTGCGAAATTGTTGTTGTTGTTGTTGTTGTTATCGTACTTCGTCCAGTAGAAGTTTTTCAGACCTGGAAAAGTTGATAAGTACAAGTTGTTTTTTTGTTGATTTGTGTTCTAGATGGGTATTGAAGTAAATTGAGCTTGGTTGCCAGCTTGACAACCTTGGGCAACTTTTTTAATAGCTATATTAGCATAATCATGGAATCTAATCTCAATCCAGGAAGCCTGAAAACGTGGATAATACGACTTTTCAAGGGTTTTCTATGACGGGGAATTCATTTATGAAACCAGTTTTTGATTCCAAGTAATGCAATTGTCTTAAATAGCATAATTAGCATATGTACAATGTATGGACTTCATTGTCATTGTTTATCTATATAAAGCCTAAAAATGGTGCAATGCGACATTGTAAATCACTTTTGAAAGACTTATCATTAATTCATGAAAAAATATTCCATGTAGATGTAGTATAATTTATAGCCTAATTATCATAATCATCTAATTGGCATATATGTGCAGTATGTACTGGACATGTATTAATGTTGCTAAAAAGCCTGAAAACATGGATAATGTGACTTTTCAGGGATTTTCCATGACGAGGAATTCATTGAGGACAGAAATTGTCTTAAATAGCATAATGAGCTAATTATGTACGATATATGGACTTCATTGTCATTGTTTTTCTATATAAAGCCTAAAAATTATGCAATGCAACATTGTAAATCACTTTTGAATGACTAATCATTAATTAATGAGAAAACATTCCATGTAGATGTAGTATAATTAGCCTAATTCGCATAATAAACTAATTATAATATATGTGCAATCATGTTGCTAATCTCAATCATAATAATAATATCTAATAGCTAAATTTTTATTTTTACTTGCAAGTCACTATTTTACTGTACAAAGCAATTGTACACCCTTTTGTTGTCTGCACCTTCACCTGCTGTTACAACACATCCCATCCCAGTATAGCTTGGAAAAGCTGCTTCAGGGATTACCTCATCAAGTATCAAGTATCAATAATAATAATTATGATAATTAAAAAACAAAACGATAACAATAATTACAAAGAAAATTAATTACAAAATTAATGGAAGCAATTGAAAAAGAAAGTTACTGGCACCAATAAATTGATATTTTAATTAATGAATTACTGAAAATATTCTTGATATCAATTTAATAATATGATATAAGACAAAAAAGAGAAACATAAAGTTAATATTGAACTCATAACGTGTTTTTGCACATACTTAAATTAATGAAAACGAAGCATTATTTTTCGACAGAATTTTACTAATTTTAAACGTGTTTGTACACTATTGGAGTTAAAAAGCTTATCTATTTTCAGTGTTTTGGTCTTTCAATAAAATATTTATCGATGAACAATTTTCTGTCTGAACGAAAGGCAGGGAAATACAAACAAGTAATGAAACTCACCCCCAAGCGATTGTAAATTGCAGGGCGTACATAATTTATAGCCTCAATTCCCGGAGAGTATTGGAATCATACCAGCTACAATCGGCAGGTAATGATTGCCACAGCGAAAACGACTAACTTGTCTGTTTATCATTCAATTATGAATTTGTACACAGTTTGTGGTTGATATTTCTCCCTGATTCAATTAAATTCATTTATATTTCCTTTTTTTAATTGTTCGTATTTACAATGACGGTAGGCCTACATTTTTACATATTCACATATCAATATTATATAGATCAATTTGCACAATACAATTAAAAACACATGAAATTGAAAGGGAAGGGGGGCCGACAAAAAAACAGAGCTTGCAGAGTGTGGCCCCCAGTAAAAGTAATTATTATGAATTATTAGTTTATGGGAAGAAAAACAAAACAATAACAATAACTGATTCAGTTCTACAAAAATCATTTTTAAACGCAAAACAATGATAAATACATAAATAAAAAAAAACGATCAAAGGATACACAAACATCGAAGTTGCATAAAGTTACACTACACATTTTATTTGATTGGGGAATGCAATAGCCTAGTCACTATTTAGAAAAAAATGTTTGAGTCTCCTTTTAAACATTTGTATCGAATTACACTGATAACATTTTAAAGTATTATAGCCCCATTTTTGAGCAGGGCTAACACCACATTTTTTTCTATTCTTCTTTTTGGAGGGAGGGGGGTCCCGGAAATGGGTGGGTTGTAGTCTCATAATGTTTAATCTACATTTATGATACTTATCTAGCTAGGCAGGCTAAGGATTATATTTGTGTTCATCACATGAAGAGTGGAACAAATTTCACATTTATATGGAAATGTCTATTATATTATAATAATATAAATGTATAGTGTCCCACACGTTACCAAATTGGCACATGCGTTACCAAAGGGAACTGTTTTTTTTTTTTTTTAATAAGATCAATCTGATCCAACCTCTTTGTTATGGAATTGGCATGTCCCAAAGTAAGAGAACGTTTTTAAAGTTTCACTCAAATTCAATTAATGTCGCATCTGTAAGTAATTCAAACATAATTATTATCTTCAAAATGTAACGCGTATAGGACATGCACATTAAATTTTTTGAACATCCCTCATTTGGATATTCAATTAGATGACGAACTGAAATTCCTAATGTGAATGACCTACCCCCTATGCTATTATGTCCCTGCACTTTGTTGATAATATCTATCAAAAACTAATGAGATACAATTAAGACATTATGATGGATGATGTATTTTGTAATATCCCGAACGTTACCATTACTCATCGATTATGCAAATTTAGTCATTGATTACAGGGTTCATGCATTTACACATTATTATGACGCACATAAACCTAGGTTTCCCGACAAACCTCCTTTGTAAATTCGGGCCTTATGTTTACGGAGTTTGAAAGAAATTAGGATAGAGGAAGGGACCTGGAAATGGCTATAGCAAGCACTGGCGTACTGGTGGGGGGGGGGGGGGGGCTTGGGGGCGCCAGCCCCCCCCCCCCCCAAAAAAAAAATAATAATAATAATAATAATAAATAAATAAATAAATAAGATAAAAAATAAAAAATAAAAAATAAAATGGAACCATGACTTATTTTCAATTCCATATACAAGTGATGTATAAATGTTCGTGATATCCCATGATTTTCAACAAAATGCGCGTTTCTCCATTTCTGTTGCAAACTGACACATTCCCAAATGGCCAGGAAGAGCATATGTTTTTTATAGTCACTAAGGGGCCGTGGCCACTAACAGTAACACTAGTAAAAAAAAAAAAAAAAAAAAAAACTCCTTTACAGAAGCAACTGTGACAAGCACTGCCGGGCGTTCCATACTTACATCATGTAACACTGCACATGTACCGTTGAGGGGCCCAGTGGGGAAATTGAATTCAGACAAGATTAAGAGTAGTGCACGGTACAACGAATCGTCTTCTTTCTCTAATAATTTAATGAAACGGCAAAGCTTCCGCGCTCCGGCGGGGGTGGGGGGGGGGGGGGGCAACTGAATTCAGACTATAGGATTAAAAGTCGAGAACGGTACAACGAATCGTCTTCCTTCTTTATAATTTAATGAAGTGTCAAAGCTTCCGAGCTTTGCGCGGGAGAGGGGGGAAACTGAATTCAGACAAGAACACGATTATTTAATGAAGGGATGGGCGAATATGAATTCAGACAAGGATTAAGAGTAAAAGTTTAATGAAACGTCAGAGTTTCCGCTCTTCGCGCGAGATGGGCGAAAATGAACTCAGACAAGGATTAAGAGTCGGAACCGGTACAATGAATCGTCTTCTTTCTCTGATAATATAATGAAGTGTCAAAGCTTACGCGCTTCGCGCGGGAGGGGGTGAACTGAAATCAGACAAGAACACGAAACAACGAATCGTCTTCTTTCTCTAATAATTTGATGAAACCTGAAAGCTTCCGCGCTTCCCGCGGGATGGGCGAAAATGAATTCAGACAAGGATTAAGAGTAATAATTTATTGAAACGTAGAAACTGCCACGCTTCGCGCGGGAGGGGGGGGGGGGACTGAATCCAAACAAGAATTAAGAGTCGAGAACTGTACAACGGATCGTCTTCTTTCTATAATAATTTAATAAAGTGTCAAAGTTTCCGCGCTGGAGGGGGGGGGGGGAAGAGACTGAAAAATAACTTAGTTCATGGCCCCGGGTTTATAGGGTTTAATTTGTAGACATTTGGACATTGGCATTAATATATTTGTCGGTAATTGGTTGCTCGGTTTGTCGGTAATCGGTGACCTCTATACCCTCCCCACCCCCCCACTGACAAAGATCTAGCGACGCCCCTGATAACGACACAGTTTATACACTGGAGAAAATTTTTGCAAGTACTACTGATGAAGTACCGGACCACCGTATTTGTGCATTGTGCGGCATCACGTCTCAAGACGTGGCAAATCACTTTTCTCTAACTTCTAACCAATCAGAAGGCCTCGTTTTTTTCCAGGAAGTGCCGGTGGACATTAATGCGCCAAATGTGGTTCTCAAATTGCAAAAGATCATATTACTCCAGGAAGTGCCTGAAAATGCGTCTAATTTGGTTCTAAAATTGCAAATGCTTCTTACTCTGGGAGGGGGCCAGAACCCCCTCCCAGACCCACCCCCGCTTGGTCGCTCCACTCCCTTGCCGCTAAAGCCTCGTTCTGTCGCTTCATCGTTTTGCATATATTTAACCCCCATGCCATTTTGTGCCCCCCCCCCCCCCGGTAAGAAATTCCTGGATACGCCACTGATGCCCATGCCCCTTGAGCTTCGGGGGCTCCGCCCCTTGACCCCCGCCGGGGCTTTGCCCCTAGACCCCACTTTGCGAAACGTTCAGCGGGGTCTGCATGTTAGAGTGGGGTGCTACGGATTTTTTTGTTGCCAGCCCCCCCCCCCCCCCCCCCCCCAACGTTTTTGCTCATTACGCCACTGATAGCAAGCACTGCGTGCAAAACGAATGGGATTTGGGTGCACATCGAACAAAATTATCGATGACGCGTCCTCTGGCACAAACAGCCGG